TACTACATTTATAGCACTGATAAACTTAAGCATTAGAAGACAGAAATGAGAAACTGTACATTAATTTAGCTCAGCATGCTTCCTACTAACATATAATACTTCAAATGAAGGAAGGCAGAGATGAGACGATTAGAATTACTGTCACATGCAGTTCTCTAGCTTTCCAAGCAAGCAGCAAGCGCACAAAAGCTTCTCATGTCTACGAACATCATGTTATCAACTTCCCACACTTTCATCACTGTAATGGCTTCCTGCTCTGTGAACAGATTTTGAAGAAACCCTTTTCTTAAGTTTGTTCAGCAAAACTGAACAGAACTTAAATGTAGAAATAATACATCAGGGTGACATTTAAACTTTACAATAAAAAAAATTAAAAAGTGTACCTCCTAATTTGGAATAATTAAATTTTTTCCATAATGACCCTCAAATATTTATTCTTCTTTAAGTACATGACCTATGACAGGACATCCAAAATGATGAGTCTTTAATTCAAACAAGGAAGTTCTAAGCAAAATTCATACTTTCTTTCTGCATAGACATTGAGTCCTATACATCTATGTTAATGCCATATAATTATTATTACTACTATTGCTCCTGCTGTTGCCATCTTCACAATAATTTGTGAAGAACATGTTACTTAAATACAGACTGATTACATTAACTTGTCAAATAGTCTCAAGAGTTCCACACTACCTCCATCATCATAATAAATATGACATGCAAGTATGTTTTATGATCTATCTCTGTGCCAAATTTCACATGTCTAGCTGCAGTGGTTCAGTAGTTAATGTCATCAAACTGAAACTGAAGGTCAAAAAACAATTTCTACAAACTTTATCAACTGTCAGAATTACTGGGTTTTTGGACTTCGTCCATCGTCCGGTATTCTAGAAACTAGAAAACACAGCGTTTCAGAAACTGGATCTCTTTCTGAAAACCCAGATATTCTGAGTCTTTTATACCACTGTAAGAATCCTTTAGAATCTATTTACCAGCTGTCCTAATGAACATTCACCTTATACACAGAATTGGATTAACCTTTAACGGCCGAATGTTATAATTATTCGCATCAAGTAGCACCCCGAGCTGGCCGAATGTTATAATTTTTAGGGACAAGCCACGTGCTTCCTTTGTGAGTGCTGGCAGTTTGACCTTGGGTTTGAAACCCAAACAAACTCATGAACGTTCATGTCAGATGTTTATTTGTTAGCTCTGAACAATGAAATCGTTTATCAGGGTACTGGTTTCGAAACTATTTACGTTTAGATATGACTGTTTATGACCTGGTGAGCCAATAGAGGTCAGCTTTGTTTTGAGAAGTTAGAGGAGGAAATATTCGTAAGCACTTTCATAGCAGTGCTGCCAGAGCTTTCAAGGAAGTGTGGCTCATTCAGGGATTGGTTTGCAGTGTTGAATTCTCAGTTAGGACGTCAGTGGCGGATTTACTATATTTTGTTAAAAGTTAGGAAGTCAGTGTCAGACTCCTGTATTTCTTTTATATCATTTTTATTGTGTATCTCGGAAGTGGTATAAATACACTGAGCCAGTGTTACTTTGTGCGTAAAGACATCTTCGTCACCGTGACTTTCGGTATCAGTGGCGGACTGGCACTTTTCGACTGCTATTGCAATTACTTTGCATCACAATTTTGCGAGTATTCTTCCACCTAATAGACATGTCTATTCTCAATGAATATCTGTTACACAAGTCATGTGATGGAAAAATGACGCACAAAAATTTCCGCGAAATTTTGGTGCGTGATTTTCTATATTTTGTAAAAAGTTACGAAGTCAGCGTCAGACTCCTATATTTCTTTTATATCATTTTTATTGTGTATCTCGGAAGTGGTATAAATACACTGAGCCAGTGTTACTTTGTGCGTAAAGACATCTTCGTCACTGTGACTTTCGGTATCAGTGGCGGACTGGCACTTTTCGACTGCTATTGCAATTACTTTGCATCACAATTTTGCGAGTATTCTTCCACCTACTAGACATGTCTGTTCTCAATGAATATCTGTTACACAAGTCATGTGATGGAAAAATGACGCACAAAAATTTCCGCGAAATTTTGGTGCGTGATTTGATTCTTCAATCACATGAGGCGAATATCACGGTCAGTGGTGTTTTTCGAGGGAGGCCAAGTTCATCTGGGGCCCAACTGAGTCGACTGGAGGTGAAACATTCAAAACACTGACCAGCTAAAGGGAAACAAAGACGTTTGTTCTATAAACAAGAAAAGCGGGAGCACGCTTTACCGCTGTAGAGTGTGATGTCGCGCTGTGTGATGGACTGCTTCGAGAGTGGGACACGCGCGTCAGAGTGAAACTGTGAAGCGATGCAGTCCAACCCGTGTACAGTCCGAACCAAATATTATTGTATATAGTGTCGTCATATTTACATCGCCACCACGATTCAAGGTTGAAGAAAAACAACATGTAAGTCCTTTGGAATTTCATAACGTATATAATAATGATTATATTTTGCACTTCATGACAAAATACTCACAGTTGATTTTCATTTGTAAAACTTGCCCTTTTGTATATATGTAGAAAATTTTATTGTCTTTCAGGTTCTTTTTAGTTCATATTCCGATGTTGCATAGAACGGAAAATATGCATTTTTTTTCTGAAAGTTTGCAATGTTAAAGACTTAGGGCCATTTAAATTCCGGCCGTAGGGAGCTGCAGGCAATTTAAAAGTCCGTACGTTAAAGGTTAAAGGAGCTGGAATGAAGAAACAGTTTACAATCTATTTACACTCCATTTTTAACATAGCCCACTAGCAATCCTGCAGCTCAAATAATGCACAGTACTTTTCCTAATGGGGCCATTTCATACTCAACTGATTCCTCCAATTGGAGTCCCAGGCAACAAAATCGTAATTCAGTCACATCCTCAGGCACAAATAGGACATGTGATCCATGTCAAGGCACCTTTTATAGAGGTAGCTATTTACCAGTCCCAGTTTAAATAGGTGTCCTTTCAACTGACAGTACTGTATACTGACTGAGCCGTCTGTGTTTTAACTGTGGTATCTCCCAAGTTCGCGGGCACTTGGTGGCATAATTGCTGAGACACTATGCTACAAGCCAGAAGGTCACGGGTTCAATTCCTGATGAGGTCACTGGATTTTTCAATTGACCTAATCCTTCCAGCCGCACTATGGCCCTGGGGTCAACTCAGCCTCTAACAGAAATGAGTACCAGGAATCTTCCTGGGAGGTAAAGGACAGCCGGTGCATAAGGCTGATAACATCACCTCCTTTTGTGAGCCGACTGTCTAAGAAATGCTGAAGCCTCAACGCCTCACAACCCTATGGGCCTCCACAGACTGCTACATGGATAGCTTTACCTCCCAAGTCCTTTCCTTTATAAGGAAAAAGAGAACTTACTTACTAACTTATCGAGCTGAGCTCTTCTTCAGAAACCAAATCTGCAGCTACTCAAGAATTTCCCAGAATTTTATAGAACCCGAAGGTTCATTACCGTGTTCACAAGAGCCCTCCACTGGTCCCTATCCTGAGCCAGATCAATCCAATCCATCCCATCCCATACTATCTCTCTAAGATCCATTTTAATATTGTCCAGCCACCTACACCTTGGTCTTCCCAGTGATCTATTTCCTTCCAGCTTTCCCACCAATATCCTATATGCATTCCTCGTCTCCCCCAACTCGTGCTACATGATGCCCTGCCCACCACTTCCTCCTTGACTTGACCATTCTATTTATACTTGGCAAAGAGTACAAATTATGAAGCTCCTCATTATGCAGTTTTCTCCAACCTCCTGTCACGTAAGGAAACAGAACTACTATGGTTTAGTGATTACTTCCTTACAGTATCCACCAGATTTGAAAATACAAACAATTTTACAGAGTATGAGATTTGAATCTTTTGCAATGGTGGAAAGTCTTATTCTGGTCTTCTAAGTTATGACACTGTGATGCCTGGTAGATGGTTACCAGAGAGCGTACTGCCCCTGGCTTCAAGAGACCAGCAGAAAACTTTGGTAACAATGCCGTAAGCCAGAAGACCATGAATGAATCTCACATAAACTGTTATCAAGCATAATGTTATATTGCAGCATCCTGTTGCACTGCTTAGATCTGACTTTGCGTTTTGCTTTGATGCCGTCTGTGTGCAACGTCAGTTAATATTCTCTCACAGTTTTCTCTTTGTTGTCACTACATGTCATCTTCAGGTGTACAGGTTGTTGTGATGAAGGAACCTGCTGCTTAGTGTAATGCTGTTCTGTTTCTGTTATGTGGCAGTCTCGGACTGCATCTAGGTTAACCATCTGTTGTTTATTTAGGTGTCCTTGAGCTGCCCATGTTTGTTGTGCTGTGGTTGGCCATCAACACAACAAATTCCTGCCCCAGCAAGAACATTCAACACACCCACAGCCAATCAAACAAATCATAAGGCAAACACCAGCAGCTCAAGGACACCTAAACAAAAAACAGATGACTAACCCACATAACCAGATGCAATCCAAGACCTCTACATTTACAGAAACAGAACAGCATCAAAGTAAGCAGCAGGTTCTGTGATCACAACAGCCTGTACACCTGATGACCTGTCAGTTAGGCCGAAACATGTAGTCGCAACAAGAATAGCAAGTGAATAGTAACCGACGTTGCACATAGACAGCATCAAAGCAAAACACAAAGTCAGATGATATCATGCATATATGTTACCCTACTACAAGTAAACACAGTAAAGCAAGAGAGGCAGTTTGTTGGACAAATGAGTATCAGCCTGACATGGTCACACACATCAAACTGACATTTCTTCCTGTAATACTGTAATATTATCTTCCTGTCATGTTTCAATCTTGCCATACATAGAATTTCACTTCAGTCTTGACATGCACAGATTTTCACTTCGGTCTTGACATGCACAGATCTTCACTTCAGTCTTGACATGCCCAGATTTTCACTTCAGTCTTGACATGCACAGATCTTCACTTCAGTCTTGACATTCCCAGATTTTCACTTCAGCCTTGACATGACCAGATTTTTGTGGCATAACCTCAAGAGAAAAGGCTATCTGAAAGAACCAAGCATGGATGATTGGGCAGCAAAATGGATGTCAGAGAAATGCTGTAACTTGCTTGCTATGACTGCAAAGCAACAGCTCCTTGCTCTTACGGCAGACGAGTCACAGGCCTGAAACAATTACATGAATAGCATTAAAAAACAGGTTCTGATTTGCATGTGAATCTGTATGTATAATTTCAAACTTGATCCACGTTTAATTTCAACAAAATGTTAAATTTCTATGTGGCTTGCAATGACACAAAAAATTTATGGTTACATAACATTCCTGCATGATAATACTTGGCACTTCCCATCCCCCTCCCCCTGGAAACATGTTTGCTGGTACTCTCAGGTTCAGTTTTTACCTCAAGATTGAAAATGACAGTGCAATGGTAAATGTGTGAGACTCTTGACAAGCTTGGCAACGCAGATCAAGTTTCTGCTGGTATACATACTGGCCTAAAGGAAAGGTACTAATAATACCCACATACTATATAAATTTTCTTCATAGATATCTCCATATATATGGACAAATACTGTCTTAAGTGCAACAATTTTATTGTAGTTTTTACTTCTTTTTCCTCCTCCACACTACATGTTTCGGCCCTAAATGGCCATCATCAGGTGTGTATCACTCACGTAGCTGTTACACTTCTTGTTAAAATTTAAAATCACCAGTCTTTCTAATTGTATAAAATCTTTGTTAATCTACACGCGTCGATTTGATTTTTAAAATTAGCACTTTTTAAAAGTTTAATTCAAGTTAAAATGTCTATAAGATCTCTGTTCTTTCTTTTTCAAATTTTTTAGTTAAAATTTTTTCAGGGTACATGCCCTATATCTATGGTGCTGCAGCGGCCACTTCTTG